ATACACCCCATCATCACCTGTTTACACATATATATACGCCCCTTCATCATATGTTGAATGAAGTACAAGACATGTATACACACCCCATCATTACCTGTTAACACACATATATACGCCTCATCATCACCTGCTAACAAACATATATACACCCCATCATCACCCGTTAACAAACATATATACACACAATCATCACCTGTTCACACATATATATACATCCCATCATCATATGTTGAAAGAAGTATAAGTCACGTATACACACCCCATCATCACCTGTTCACACACATATATACCCCCCATCATCACCTGTTGAATGAAGTATAAGACACATATATACCCCCCATCATCACCTGTTGAATGAAGTATAAGACACATTTATACACCCCATCATCACCTGTTGAATGAAGTATAAGACACATATATACCCCCCATCATCACCTGTTGAATGAAGTATAAGACACTATCGTCGCCCAAGAGATCGAATATGTTGAGTCGTCCTACCACGTGCTCTCGTGTATAGCCCACCATCTCCGCCAACGAGTCTGTGATGATGCTACAGTGAAGAGAAAGGCAACGCAATGCTGACTGTGAACCACGGTGTGTCAGACGGTGCACTTGAATTCAAAACGTATATAACGATCTGAAGGTGACTACTGATGAGACATTCAAAACGTATAAATCGATCTGAAGATGGCTACTGGTGAGTCATTCAAAACGTATATAACGATCTGAAGGTGGCTACTGATGAGACATTCAAAACGCATATAACGATCTGAAGGTGGCTACTGATGAGACATTCAAAACGTATAAAACAATCTGAAGGTGGCTACTGATGAGTCACTCAAAACGTACAAAACGATCTGAAGGTGGCTACTGATGAGAGTGTGGCTCAGACTCAACGCTTTGGCGAAAATATGTCGCACGGTTGGATAAGCCATGTTTAGTTGACGCGCCGCGTGAAATACACTTCAAGACTACTTCAACAAAATCGAAAACGTAAAAGAAAAACGTATCAGATCCGCTCCAACGGCCTTAGAATTAATGCAAGATATACCACTTTCAGTCAGGGAAATATAATTACCTACCGTAACATTAACATCTAAAACTGTTTTTGAATCCGTCACAAACGGAAGTAAAACGTAAATAAAACGTAGTAACACTCACCTTATCCTTCCTGATGGTCTGAGAATTAACGTAGGGAAGTCACACATGGCCAGAGTCCGTCTGAACGTGAGGATGCGTCGTCTGTACGCGTCTATCACCGTCATCAGTTGATCTGGCCCACACAGGTTAATATAAAGTGAGTGGATATAGTAGGTGATGTAATGGGATGTAAAACAAGATAGTAGGTATAGTAGATGAAGTAATGGATATAAAACAAGATAGTAGATATAGAAGATAGTATATTAGATCGATTTCAGTCAGTATGGTAACTATTATAGTAAAAGGTTAGCCAATATAGTAGGTACTATAATGGGATCAAATAGTTATGGTTTAGGGTTTTAGTATATTAAATGAACGGTCCTAGTGTTGCCAATAGGTGATCAAAATCAAACCAAATTGAGTTCCATTGATCTACCTCAGACAGAATAGAAGAAGTATATATATATCTATATGTATGTATATATATATATATATATATAATACTACACTATATGTATAAAACTCTGTATTGGACTGTACCAAATACTATGATAGCCAAACAGGACAAATAATAGGGTTTCAGTTGATCTAGTCGGCATTCGGCATCAACCCAGACGTAGTGCACCTGTTTGTTATTGTTATAGACCGACCTAGATGACAGTTAGGACTGGTCCATTGTCTAAAGTCTCAGGTGCGTCTCAGAGATAGATGGAACCCAAACAACACGTCAGGTACATATACCGTCGGCATGAGTGCATATCGTGACACATGGACCAATACAAAGTTATAGTATATCGATGACAAGATATGATGCATACACGGATGATATTAGCAACTACAACAGTAACTATCCCAACACATATATGCCAATACTCAAATATATCTATATACAACAATCAAGTACATGATAACCTAGCCCTGCACATACACACACAAACACAAACACACACACACACACATATATATATATATATATACGTAAATAAACAAATATATATATATATATATATAATATATTTATATCTATAC